AAGCCCTATGCCATTCAATTCCAAACATTCCCCAAATTTCAGACTTCTCCCTTAAACCAAACTCCTCCATCTTAGTTTCTTGAAGGCAGACCACATCCGGCTTAAGCCTTCTAATCAACTCTCTCACCAACATCCTTCTCCTATCCTCCCTCAGACCCCTAGCGCTCTAAGAGAGGATTTTCGTCCTTCTAATCTTCCTTTCTTAATTCCCTTTCTTTTTTTTTTCTTTTTTTAGGATTCTGCCTCAAAATCTTCTCCTTGTATTTCTCCCTCATCCCACACTTTGCCTCCTTCCACCACTATTTCCTTCTCCCTTTCCACCTTTCTCCTTCTCTCTAGATTCTTGAAGGCTTTCCTCACGAATCCTTCTCCTCCCCAGTAAAACACACCAAAGATTTTACCCACTTCCACCTCCCTCTCCAAAGTTTGTTTATATCCACCTTTCTGTCACTCCCTTTATCACCCAACAACAACGGACTCTTCCTCCCTTGTCCTTCTCAACCCCCCTTTTCTTCCATACCCTTAGAACTTTTCTCTTCCTCTGCCTTCCCTCCCCCTTTCTACGCCTCCTCCCCTCCTTGAGTCAAGCTTCTTCTTTTCCCATTATAGACCTTACCTACTCTGCCCTCTTCTTCAGAAACTTCTCTATGCTTCCTTTTTGAGTAGAAAAGTTTGGACAACCTGTTTTGATATAAAAACTGTAAAAGAAAGAAGAAAAGAAAGAGGAGAAAAGGTTTCAGCTGAGAAAGAGAGAGAAGAGAATGGGAGAAGCTCAGAATTAGGTCTGACAGCCTCTTTCATTAGATTATATACTCATAAATAAAAGAGAGTACAAAGACAAGTATGCCCTTAGTAAGTCGGCTACTTATGAGAACTTAAAAACACTCTTAACTTAAAAACATAAATTGATGGGCCTAAGGCCCAATAACTCCCTAACTATGCTATGTAAATAAAAAAACATGTTATATAAGCCCAAAACTCAACACTACTCAAGTTGGGAATAAATGTCACACATTCCCAACTTGCGTAGATCATGCTCCAGCTTGTTTCTTGCAACTCCTTTTGTAATAACACCAGTAAGCTGCAAGTCGGATGCAACATATGGCAAGCAAACTTCTTCGGATGTTACCCTTTCCCTTATAAAGTGTCTATCCATTTCTATATGCTTCGTTCTATCATGCTGAATTGGGTTGTGGGCAATGTTAATTGCTGCTTGATTGTCGCAATATAGCACCATAGGTTCTTTGGCCTCAACTCCAATGTCCCCTAACAAGGAACGGATCCAGAGGAGCTCTGAAACATCATGTGCCATGGCTCTGTATTCAACTTCTGCACTTGACCTTGCCATAATTGTCTCTTTCTTTCTCTTCCATGAAACTAAATTACCTCCAACAAGAGTACAAACTCCTGATGTAGATCTCCTGTCATCTAGACATCCTGCCCAATTAGCATCTATGTAAGCCTCTAACTTCATTTGTTTGTTTCTTACTCTCAGTATTTTACAATGTTACCTAGGCCTGAACTATTTGAGAGAGCCTTGACCTCTCCCTCAAACTTTTTTTTTCACTTGCGATAGTCGGTTCCTCTCCCTTCTTTACTAGCCCCACACTCTTCTTTAAAGAGTCACTCAGCTTAAAAACCACCTCCGCGTGTCTGTCTCTGGACATATTTGCCCTATGTCCTCCCTCAAATTTTCTTTTTTGCCCAAGTGCGACTGTTGGGCTTCTTCCTTTTCAACCTCGCCATTGTTTGATCTCCTCCCTCCATCGTCCTTAATCGACTTTTGGACCCACTCCACCTCAAGAGCGTTACTCAAATTAATAGGTTGGCCCAAAGACAATGGCAAGGTTGAAAAGGAGATTTGGGACATAGGACATGTGTCCAGTATCCCAAGGAGATTTGGGACTATGCCAAGCAGTTGTGTTTTGGACAAGACAGTGTCACAAGAATTTACTACTTATACCAAGATTGTTTTTTCTCTTCAATAAGGGGATAAAGGTGTTGAAGAATACTATGGTTCTTTAAAAAGCTAAAGAAAGGAGCTTAATGTTTATCAATCCCTATGCACTGATTTGAAGACTCAACAAGAACAAGGATAACATCTAGATGTTGCAAGGTTTTTATCTGTGTTGAGGTCTGAATTTGAATTGGTATGGGCCCAAATCTTAGGTAGCAATGATCTTCCATCCCGTTTTGAGGTTTTCTCCCATATAAGAAGAGCTTCAAATTCATGTAGTGATTATCCCCCACCTTCAGAGAGATCAGCCATGGTGGTTTCCAGAGGAGGTTTTCTTGGTAGAAATATGTGCAGTAAAGGTGGAGGTAACATGAGGCGTTTTGTTTGTGGGCCTAGGGGTGGACATGGCAGTGGTAGAGAGGCTGGTGGTGGTCGTAGTGGCAGTGTTATGATCTTCATGGCCCTTCATCTTCCTGGGCTAACTATGCATGGTGGAAGGTGGCTTTGGGAGTCATAGTATGATTTAAAAATGCTCTTACTTCTAATGTTGGTAAGGGTAAAGACAATCTCTTTCATGTGAGGACTGAGGAGTATGAAAAGCTTCGCCAGTCTGTTTCTTCCAGTTTTGCTACTATACACTTGTGAAGTTAGGTACCGCTTGCCTTGTTTCCAGTTCTACACCTTTGCCCTAGGTAATTGATTTTGGAGCCTCATACTACATGACTGGCTCCTTAGATATGTTTGTATCTTTGTCACCACCTTCTAATCCCAGACTATTATTGGTACCGATAATGTGTCTCTTGGTTATGACCTTAACTTATGCTCTATTTTTTTATGATCCCAAGATTCCCTTTAGTCTCTTGTCTACAAGTAAGATTACTCAAACCTTTCATTGTTTAGTAGCTTTTTATCCTTCATATTGTGTCTTTCAAGATCTCAAGATGGGGAAGACGATTGGTGGTAGTCATGGAGTTGGAGGACTGTACTCTACCTAGATGACTATGGTCCTTAGAAGGCTCTCTTCTTTCCTCTCTTACACCACATCAATGGCATTGTTGTCTTGATCATCCTTATCTTTGTGTTTTAAAAAGCAAGTCCTGACTTTGGAGCTTGTAACCTGGTTAGATTGTGAGTCTGTTAGTTAAGCAAACATCATAAAGCGTCTTTTGTTTCTAGAGTTGATAAGTGAGTCCTAAGTCCTTTTGCTTTAGTTCACTCATATGTTTGGGGTCCTAGTCATGTGTCATCTTATAATGGATTTAGATATTTTGTAACACTTATTGATGATTATTCAAGAATGACACGGATTTACTTAATGAAGGATTGTTCAAAATTGTTCTCTATTTATTGATGACTATTCAAGAATGACATGGATTTACTTAGTGGAGGAACCTATTCAACCATCTATTTACAAAGTGTACTCCAAATGTAATTGACAACTAGAATTGTCATCAACAGTTGATCTGGCTCCAGTTTCTTACCTACCACCAGAGTCTTTGTCGTTGACAGATCCACCAGCCTGAAATCTTAATCTTCCTATTGCTCTTCATAAGTGTAAGCGTGCTTGCATAGATCACCCATTTTCTCAATATGTCTCTTTTGCTCACTTATATCCTTTACATCAATGGTTCATTTCCCTTCTATCCTTAGTTTCCCTACCGTGTTCTCTACAAGAGGCCCTCTCATCTTCGGACTAGAAGAAGGCGATGGATGAAGAATTTCATGCTCTTCAATCTAATAATACTTAAGACCTCACTTCCTTACCAGCTAGGAAGCAAATCGGTGGTTTTTTATGGGTCTATACAGTTAAGCATTGTCAAGATGGCCATATTGAGCGATTCAAGGCTCAACTTGTTGCTATGGGGTATACTCAGAACTGTGGTGAAACCTTCTCTCCCATGGCTAAAATAGGTTATGTACGAGTGCTCATCTTTTTAGCTACCCACTTTGATTTTCCCCTATTTTAGCTTGATGTTAAAAATGCTTCCCTCCATGGTGATCTTCAAGAGGAGAGGTGTATATGGATCAACCTCCTAGATATGCTGCTCAAGGGGAGTCAGGGAAGGTGTGCCTATTGAAGAAGGCTATCTATGGGTTGAAGTAGTCACCACGGGTATGGTTGGGTTGATTTACTACTGTGGTGTAAGATTTTGTCTTGAATAATGCAGTGCTGATCATTCTGTGTTTAGTAGGGACTCTTCATTTAGGAAAATCATTTTGGTAGTGTATGCTGATGATATTATTCTCATTGGTAATGATGCACATGGAATTAATGAGTTGAAACAGTTCCTACAACAACACTTTCAAATTAAGATCTAGGAACCTTGAAGTACTTTCTTGGAATTGAGGTGGCTCGACCGAAGTGGGGAATCTCTGTCCAAGCGAAAGTACGTTTTGGATATGTTGGATGAAACTGGGTTGTTGGGATCCAAGCCAGTTGAAACTCCTATGGATCCCAATGTGAAGATGACTGATGGTTAGGGGGAGCCATTAGAAGACCTACAAGGTATTAGAGACTAGTAGGCAAGCTGATCTATCCTACCATCACTAGGCCTGACATCTCCTTTAGTGTTGGAGTCTTTAGTCAATTCATGCAGAATCCAACAATTGCTCATTGGTATGGTGTTATGAGGGTGGTAAAGTATCTAAAGGGTGCTCTTGGTCGAGGGGTTTTGTATAAGAAAGGGGGAGATATATCTCTAGTAGGGTATTTAGATGCAGATTGTCCAAGGTCTCTAATGGATAGGAAGTCTACTATAGGCTATTGTACCTTCTTGTGTTGAAATCTCGTCACTTGGAAGAGCAAGAAATAAATATTGTTTAATTCTATATACAAGATTATCACAGGTAATAGGCTACAAAAATTACAAATGGAAACAAGAATAAGTAGACAAAATTATCTATACAGTGAAAAATAAATGAGTAGGCGTACTTTATACTGTAACTCTCTCCATCCCAATTTCAAGTCAAAACTTATTTGCTATTTATTTGGCCTTTGATGCTATATGAATGAATTACCTATTCTATGTCATTCACAATCCAGGTGAAACTCCGGAAAGAAGTAAACCTTCGCAGGAATGCTGAATCTTCGGCGGCTTCAGCTGAAGAGAAGGCTAGCCTATTAGAGGAAAAGCTGAACCATCTCTCTGAAAGCATGAGCAGAGAGAAAAATTGTCTCCAGAATGAACTTGTTCAGTTAAAGAAAGACTCCAAACTTTCTATTTCTCGAAAACATGCAGATGTGAGTGGTTGGATGTGCTCATTGAATTTGAAAAAAAATGTTTAACTTTAATCTTTCTAAAGGGTAACTGACTTGTATGTACTTTTAGTTTGAACGAATGGAATGCAGAGCAAACAATGCAGAGAAAGAGTCAGAGCTGCTGAGGAAAGAGTTGGAGGAACTTAAAGAGCATCTGAACGAGGTTGGTATGATATCTTGTACTGATTTATACTTATGCACAAATCAATGTATTCTGTGTTGGATTTTGATGCTTTGTTGTTCTGATGTTCATTTTGAGGTAATTCTGTGCTTACTTTCATTTCTAATTAACCTGAGGAGCATTGTTGGCCTAATAAAAATGAGGTTAGGTTTCTTCTTGTGTACTTGTAGGGATCTCTGTTTCAGATGTTGTCATCAATCTGCATGGTCCATATTCTGGGTCATTATTTGTGTTGTGCTAAAGCAGTCCTGTGGTGTCTTGGTGCTAAGCTTGCACTAATTACTATTTGTTTTGATGTCTCTAATGAATCTCCGAAACATAAGTAACCTGGTAAAAGTTGAGGCTGGTTTTCTTCGATTGTGAGTCTAGATTCCTTCTGTTGATGCCTATCAAAAGAAAAAAAAACCAAAAAAGAAAGATTCCTTGTGTTCGGGAGGATCTTAGTCTCTTAATGCTTATGGCATAATTTTTCATCAATCTGCATACTCTAAATTTTGCACCATGCTTTGGGTTTGACTCAACGCAACGCAATCCCCTCACAGTCTGGATAAACCAGCTTAAGGACTTCAATTTATACGTAGGTAATTTTGCTAAATCAGCTTGCTGTTCAGAGAATTGTCCTTTTTTTTTTTTAATTTTTTTGATACTTGTTTTTAAGGATGCCAATATTTAGAATCCTGATTTATGTGAAACCAGCTCTTCATTGTCTACCCTTTGCAGTTTTAATATTCATACGGCTCTAAATGGGATTTTCATGTGATTGTATCCTTGATGCCCTGATTCTCTGGTCAATTGTCAGGCCTGTCAGATTGTGAGGGTTTTGGTATTTGGTCAATCTAAGTCTGGCTTAGTGTTGGGTTCAAAGGTCAATCAAACTATTAGCATCTATGTAGAATTCCTTGTATGTGTCCCATTTCTTTTGGATTCGAAGGTCAAGCATTTGGTGCTATGGCCTGGGGCTTTACACCACTGTTAGATATCAAACATCCCAATAGTGCGATACAAATATCAAATCTCCTGTTTTCTTTGTAATTCTGGTTGTGGAAGTTGGATGGTTTTGATTTTTTAGTACTTGGTCTATGACATGATTACACCAAATTTGACTAATAATTATTTCTTTTTTAATTTTTAACAGTGTTTGCAGCAGAAAAATGAAGTAGAAATGAAATTGTTAAAAATCACATCTCTATCTCAAGAAGCTGCTTCTACAGATACTGATATTTTGGTGAAGCATCTACAGGAGGAGCTCAGAAACTATGTGAGTTCAGCATTTTCTTGCATTATGAAAAGGGTCATTACCTAATAATGATCCTGACTGTTTTGGAAGGGGTAGACTGGATATGGACCTTGCCTTATTTTATTTTATTTTTTTCAGAAAGTTATACTTCTTTCAGAGTGAAACCTATATTTTTGTGCTTGCATTTTTACCTTACTTCAAGATTTTATTGTTGCACCAAGCAATGTCTCCTATTTTCTTGCATTCTGACTTGTGCATCAAATGTCTTATTCTTTTTCTTATTATTAATTATGGCCTATGTTGCATAATTGTACATTTGTTTCAATGGATATCTTGGAAAAATATATGAAAAAGGTGTACATGGACCATACAAGATAACAAAAATCCCAAGGTCCCAAAATAAAACAATGTCTCCACATATTCTCCATCCTCGGAATAAAAGGTGCCACATACAAAAGGCTCTAAATATGGAAGCTTATACAAATGAATGACTAAACAGGAAATGCCCTTGATTTCAACATGATATACATTTCTTGTGTATTATATTTTTTCCTGTTAATGGAAGGAATTTTACTAAAAACTAGATAAGTAAACTGTAGAAATGTATGAAAATATAACCATCCAATACTGATAAAAAATATAACCATCCAAGACCTAAAATATTTTAATTGGAATTTAGAGAGGAAGATTTTCTTCTCTATTTTCTGAATATCAGAGACTTTCTACTACTACTGTTTTATCTACTATTAAAAATGGCTATAAGTAGAGATGATGAGTGATGCAGGACAGGTAGGGGGGTGCAAAAACTTTTAGATTTGGTGGTTTACTTTGTGGAGTGAAAGAAGGTAATTGGAGTGATTAATAATGAAGAATTGAAATGGAGAAGCAAGTAAAGAGCTTGCTGCCTCCCAGAAGATTAGAAAGAGATTAGAAAGAAAAGAACAGTTTTTCTGTTAGAGTAAACAACATATAGGTAGATCACCTGGAAGAAGTAGACAAGGAAATTGAAAATAGTTCACTAAACTAAAGGTTTCTTGGATGTAGCCATAGTATCAAGAAGATCTCAGAATTGGAAGAATACAATGAAGTTGAAAGGAAAGGTTTTTGAAGCAGAACAACGGTTCAATAGAAAAGGGTGGTTCATCACAGTTACAGAGTGGTTCGGACTGGGCACAAAACAGATGATATGTATCCCCTTTGGAAACCAGAGCAAAGGTTGGACCATGTTTGCGAAAGAGTTGCAGGATTTCTTGTGGAGAAACGAGGAGCAATCAAGGAAAACCCAGGCCAACCACAGTGAGGCAATCCAATCAAAGACAGGTCGGGGAAAGGATAAAGATGGGAATGGTAAGGATTGGAGTAAAATGTATTTAGTTTATGCAAACAAGAAGGTGTCCAAATGGAGCTTGGTAGCAGAGGAACTGAAACAGAAATTGAAGTTTGAAGGTCCCTTCAATCTGTGACCCTTTCAGGCAGACAAGGCTTTGTTAGAAGTGGGTAAGATGGGAGAGGAGATCCATGCTCGTTCTTTTCAGACCACCGAAGGTGTAATGGTAATCAACCAGTGGACTTCGAGCGCAAATCGCATACACCACTCAGAAGGCTTCCACATTAAAGTTTTAGGGATTCCTTTCAACTTATGGACCCCTGAAATTTTTAAGAAAATTGCATCCCTGTGCGGAGGTGTCTTGGAAGACCTGGATACCTCAAACCTCAGTGCGGCTGTTTTGGGTCTGAGAGGGATCAAAGTGGAAGAAATCCCAAAAGCAGTGGAGATGGAAATAGGCGAATCTCAGTTTGTGGTGTGGTTGCTTTCTTCAGTGGAGGAGAGGCTGTGGAGAAATTTGTGAGAGGTAGAAGATGATGACGTGGCATGGGTCAAAGAAAGGGAAGAAGAAACAAAGAAGTTTGACCGCTCTTGCAAAAGAATGGAAATTGAACAGTCATCATATTCGAAAGTTGGAAATTTGTGCATTAATGAAGAGGGTAAATCTGAGCCGTTTATTAACGCACACGTGGCCTTTCAAAGATCTTTTGCGGAGGTGACAGCTGGAAGAGGCGGTAAAACATCATTAAATTGTAAACCCGCGCCAATAGTCAAACTGATGGGCGAACCGAGCGAACCAAGGGCTCAGGTGCGCGGGTCAGTCCGAAGGGTGGTGGACAGTAGCAGGGGTCTATCATCGTCTTCTTCGATCCCTGTTGCTCGCCTCCCGCCATGCTTTTAACGCAGAGTTGCAAAGCCGCTTCTAAAGCCCCTAAGGACGTTGGAAAAGGTGCGGCCACATGGAGATGGATGCCGGTGGCGACGAACAACTCTACATCTCCTGATAAGCCCAATCCGAAATTTAATAGGCATGAGAGCGACAAATCCGAAGAGGAAAGTGATTGGGAAGACCTAAGGCAAGAGAAGGGGTATCAATCGGAGCTAGAAGATAGTATCGGAAGTGTCAACATTACTAAAATGTGCATCTTGTGGGACAATGAAATGCTGGGAATAGAATTGTTGTTTGAAGATCCCTCTACCTACGCTAGCGTGGCTCCAAGAGAAGTATCCGGTGATAGTCCTGCCCCAGTCTTAGAGGCAAACTCAACTTCAGTCAGAAGGGAAGATGGAGAGCTCCCAGGGGAGGCACAACGTCAAGATATTAATAAAGGATGTCAGATTTTAGTACTAACCCGGACAAAGAAGCACAGGAGGAACAGGACATTGATGTTATATCAGTGTTGCATGCCAAGGCTTCCGAATTAGTGAGTATTGATAAAGGGAAGAACTCAGGCTTGCTGGCACAGGGAGTCCCTAACCCCTCGTCTTCGTGTTTACCCTTTCAGCATGTGAATCCTTGTTTAGACCCCTCTAAATTATATTCATGTGTTTGTGCAGGTACAACCAATGCCATTCCTCCCAGGAATCTCTCAATGAAAAGTGCCATAGCCCAAGATTCTGATAACCTATCGGACAATAGCCTAGAACAAGAGAGCTAGAATTTGGTCCTTAATTCTAGAAAACCTATTTGACCTGACCTTATTTTTGGAGAATAATGAAAATAGAGTAAACCACCCTGTGGGTGATTGGGGGCTGAATCAGGAGAAATAAAAGTTAGAAGGAAAGAGAAGAGTGGGAAGGAAGAATGAGGGAAGTATGGTATACTTGAGGAAAAAAGGAAAACAAAGAAGAAGAAAGCGAAGCGAGCTAGTGAAGCTTAAGTGTGGAATAAATTATGAGAAGATGGAAGAGGGGAATCTGAAAAGGAAAAGAGGGGAATTTTAGGCAGCCATTGATAAGGGGTCACAACAGGTCGAAATGAAGATAGTTAGCTGGAATGTAAGATGCCTAGGAAGCGCCAAAAAGAGGAGGATAATCAGGAATGCTTTCAGAAAAGAAAGACCAAATATGATATTGATTCAAGAAACCGAACTTTCAGAGCTAAATCGAAGGTGGATAAGAAGTATTTGGGGAGCCAGGGGTCTAAGCTGGTCGTATGCTCCATCATGGGGAGCCTCAGGAGGAATTTTGACTATTTGGAGAAATGAGGAAATGGAGTGTGTGGAGGAATTGATTGGTAGATATTTAGTCTCCCTAAAAATTAGAAGACTATCGGATGGGAGTGAATGGGTGGTAACAAATGTATGTGGTCCTAACTCCTATAGAGACAAGGAGGTTTATTGGGAAGAATTATGCGATATTAGGGGAATCTGGGAGGGACCATGGTGTGTGGGTGGTGATTCCAATGTCATCAGATTTTCAGGAGAAACAAACAATCCGAATCAAAGAATCACTACCAGCATGAGGAAGTTTAATAACTTAATTGATTCCCTTGAATTGAGTGAACCTCCGATGCTAAGGGTGGACTATACTTGGTCAAATTTTCAATCCCCCCTAACCATTTCCAAGCTGGATAGGTTTCTTATTACTCCTGACTAGGAAGAATTGTGGGGATCAATAGTAGTGAAAGGGCTACCTTGGGTAACTTCAGACCATTGCCCCATTTCCATTGAGAAGGAAAGTCCAGGAGGAGGCCCTAGTCCTTTCAGATTCGAAAACGTGTGGTTTGAGGATCATTCATTTAAAACCAGATTGAAGGAATGGTGGCAGAAACTCAGACCTTTGGGGAGTATGAAAATGTTAAGCTTTGCATGGAAATTAAAGAGGATAAATGGGAAAATAAAAGAGTGGAATAAAGAGCATTTTGGGAGGGTTGAGGAAATAAAAGAGAACATAGTGAGGAGGATTGAGGAGTTAGATAAGAAAGAGACTATCAGAATGTTATTAGAAGAAGAGTGGAAGGATCGATGGAAAATCAAACAAGAATTGGAAGAGATATTAAGAAAGGAGGAAATATGTTGGCGATAGAAGTCAAGGTGTCAATGGATTGTTGAAGGAGATGGTAACACTAAGTTTTTCCATGAAAGTGCAAACGAAAGAAGAAAAAAAAACTTATTCTTCAGTGTGGAGGAGGGGGGTCAGGAAGCAAGAGAGAGCTAGGAGATCACAAGGATTTTTGTAAACCATTTCAAGGAAACCTTCACAAGATCAAGCGGGGTGACAATAGAGCTACCATAAATGGAAGGGGATAGGATCTCAGAAGTGCAATCCTTACTTTTGGAAATGAATTTTACTTTGGAAGAAATCAAGGATGCAATCGAGCTGGATGGATTTTCAATGGCCTTCTATCAAGAATGCTGGGATTGGACGAAAACTGATATTCTGGAAGTTCAATGAATTTTTTCAGAAAGGAGAGGTGCCTCGAGGGGTGAATGTCACTTTTATCACTTTAATCCCAAAAAGGAGAGAGGCCAAAACCCCTAAAGATTATAGGCCAATCAGTTTTATTGGGAGTATATATAAAAATATTGCAAAGGTTCTCTTAGAAATGAATTAGGCAAGGAGACCCTTTATCCCCTTTTATCTTCACTATAGTGGCTGAGGTGTTAAGCAGAATGGCTATGAAAGCTGATTCCCAAGGACTGTTTAGAGGGTGGAGGATAGGTAGAAATCAAGTGGTTGTTACCCACCACCA